AATTTAAATGTAATGTCACTGGATAATACTCTGCACAATGACCTTAGCATGAAGATTTCTATTCAATGGGTGCCACGTCTACTGACACCTGACCCAAAACATACCAGGCTGATCACACCACGAAGAAATCTGACATTGTTTGAGGCAGATCGAACTGGTTTCCTTAAATGTTTACAAAACAGGGATGGCTGTTGGTTTCATTAATTTGAGCCAGAGACAATCCATGCAGTAGAAACACATCTCTCCTGCTCAAAAGAAAGCCACAGTCGTTTCCTCTGCATGAAAGGTGATAGTCTGAGATTTTTAGAATACATTGTGTTTATTGATTATCTTCAAAAGGGCCACATGATCAATGGAGAGAACTATGCCAACTTAGGCAGTTACGAAAGGCTATCAAGATCACCCCACCCCAAGAAAACTGACAAAAGAGGTTTTGTTTCAACAGGACAATGTTGCAGGCCATGTCTTTGGTTTTAATGGCTGCTGTGCGTTACTGTAGCGTTGAACTGGTTGATCAGCCTTTCTATTCTCAAGATTTGGCCGCATCTGACTATCATCTGTTCCCCAACATGAACAGCACTTAGCTGGTAACCAGTATCTCAGTGATGAAGAACTTATATCTGTGTTAGTGACATTTTTGACCAACAGGGTGAAAGTGTCTTCATCAATGGGGTTGTAACCTTGGGAAGGTTACTGAATAGAATAATCAAACGAAGGTTGGTAATGTACGATAATACTTAGGACAAGAACAACACATATAAGATTCGCCAGCGGTGCGTAGAAGTAGTAGTCAATTGCTAGAAGTGAGTCAAGTGAAATCCACAATGACTCTCCAACTGCAGGATATCTAAAAACCGCCCCACGCTGTCAGATGTGGTGCAAGGCCGAATTTAATGTCGGATATCCGAGCCCGTAGGACCGGCCAAAAATTCCGGATAGACACCATATAAACGGCGTCGGGTAGCTGTTTCGCGCAACGAGACTCTGCCCTTCGACATAGCTTCGTCTGGGGATCCTCTCTACCCAGAAGCAGAGAATTTGACAAGCACAGCTGGAGACGAATCTTCAACTGTAGGATATCTACCAACCGACACACGCAGTCAGATGAGGTACAAGGCCGAATTTAATGTGGGGTATCCGAGCCCGTAGTCTCGATCATAAATTCCCTGTAGACCTCGTATAAAACCGGGTTGGATGGCTGTTTCGCGAGACGATACTCTGCCCTTCGACATAGCACCATCTGGGGATCCTCTCTGCCCGGAAGCAGCGAGTTTGACAAGCACAGCGGGAGACGAATCTCCGACTGCAGACGAACATACATTATTGACTTCTGTATTTACGTGAATGGTGACATACTCATTATTGTCCGTAAGTATGCTACCACAAATGGGATCAAAGCACCGATGGAAGAAGTGTGTGGAGAGCCAGGGGGACTATGTTGAAAAATAAATCTTATTTGGTCACATTCCATGAGAGTATCTTGGTCAGCCTATGAACTTTTCAGCCGACTCTCCTACTTAAAAGATGTATGCCACTTGTTTTTTGATTAATTAAACCCGAAATATTTTGTTTCACAGCCAATAATTTATACGAGATTTTTTTTTCTCCAGAGTGTATAAAAAATACAGGTTATCTCCCTTTGGTAGATAACTGCTGCTGATAATAGGCCGTATCCATTCATCTGATAATAATAAGTATGACCCCAAATTAGGTACGAAAAAGACACATACGGGTCATAGAGTAATGAAATGCATCTTTGGTCATCCCAATACTTCTTCATATGTCAGTATCGCTCTTTCCATCGTCTGTCAAAACACTTCCCAGATATTTAAATTTACGCATTTGATTGATTTTGGTATCTCCGATTTACAATACTTTTTAATGATAGAATAATATACTTGCAAGTTCCAAATCTATAAAATAGCCGTGGGAATCACACAATTACATCGTTCTGAATTTAAGCGAAACATCTTTAACAAAATATTGAAATGGCAATTATAAATCTGCATGGGTTCAAGACATCCGTATACCGTAAACCGACATTCACCGGAGAGTACCTCAATTTCAACTCCCACCATCCATACAGCGTAAAGAAAGGAATCGTCCGCTGCTTACAACACCGAGCAAAAGTCATAAATGGTGACCCAGAGACATTAGATAAAGAATTGGTCAGTATAAGTAGTACCCTACAATGTAACAAGTACCCTAGGTACATGGCAGCAGCCCCCAAAACTGGGATAGGCGGGTGCAAGACTCAGAAAACAGTCTGCCTGCCTTATGTGAAGGGGTTATCAGAGAAAAGGATTAGCGGTCCATATAACATCAGGACAACCTTCAAAAGCTGGATGATACTTTGCAGATATATTTCCCTTTCTTTAGACATGGCACGTGGAACTAGAACATTCTATCCCAGTGAGCAAAATAAAGGGTTCAGTTCGACATTCCAACTACCTGAAGAAGAGCGTACAACAGCCGAAACGATGTGATAAATATGGCGACAAAGATTAGGACAATAGTCCGAATAATGTAAATAGTGTCTGAATGCAGATCATTAAAGAAGTGAGATGGTACAAATGATTAGAATCAAAAAGTTTTCCATTCACAGAAGCAGACGTTAAACACATGAAAGCGTTATCACCTTCTATTTCTTTCTTTCTTTCTTTCTTTCTTTCTTTCTTTTCCTTTCCTTACTGAAGTTATTTACTAGTCTCCTCTCGTAGGGTTGGTTGGTTGATTTTGTTAAGCAACATATCAACCTCTATAAGTTTCTTTAATGCCAGAATGTAAATATTTTGTACGCAATTTTAGGCCTTCAACTTACAGATAAAATGTATTGTTAGTCATTTGCTATAAAATGTGTTGTTAGTCTTTTGTTATAAAATGTATTGTTAGTAATTCTACTATTAAACGCATGGCTGTTTCTTTCTTTCCTTTTGCTAATTCATTTCTTTCTTTCTTTTTTGAATACATTTCTATCGTATGTAAAATGAATTGTTGGTCATTTTGTTATAAAATGTATTCCTGGTAATACTACTATAAAACGCATGGTTGGTATATTTAATATAAAATGTACTGCTGGTCATTTTGCTTTCAAATTGTATTGTTGATAATTTTACTATAAATACTTATTTTTGGTAATTGTTTTTATGTAAAAATGTAATTTTATACTTTCATAGTGTTTTGTTTTTGTTTGGTCGGGGGTGGGGTCAGTTTATGATCATCACTGGGACCCTAACAGGTCCTACCACCTTGGTCAGGGTGCACCGAAGAACAACAGCAGTTAAATGTTCTGAAGAGCTACATTTCTTAGTTTCACCAGTTCAGACCTTCACATCTAAGCCTCTCTCTACTCTATCGCTATATCCATGGCAAATGTTCTGACGAGCTACATTCCTTAGTATCACCAGTTCAGACCTTCACATCTAAGCCTCTCTCTACTCTATCGCTATATCCATGGCAAATGTTCTGACGAGCTACATTCCTTAGTATCACCAGTTCAGACCTTCACATCTAAGCCTCTCTCTACTCTATCGCTATATCCATGGCAAATGTTCTGACGAGCCACATTCCTTAGTATCACCCGTTCAGACCTTCATATCTAAGCCTCTCTCTACTCTATCGCTATATCCATGGCAAATGTTCTGAAGAGCACCTTAGTATCACCAGTTCAGACCTTCATATCTAAGCCCCTCTCTATTTTATCGCTATTTCCATGGCAAATGTTCTGACGAGTTACATATGCATAGTTCCGCCAACTCTGGCCTTTGCAGCTAAGACCCGCTATCCCACGTACATTAAGACGAACCATCCTCATTCTCTTCATGTTCCATTAGTAAGAGGGAAGTGCCATTCTTGCCGCTTTCCACACCCAAGGGCCGCTACTCCCGAGAGGATGCTTCCCCGTTTGCTAAAATATAATCTCTTCAAAACTTTCTAACATCGCACAGGCTTTGAATACATATGGTCCGGTGTTCTTGCTATATATTTAGAGATTCTTGATAAAATCCAATGAGTATCTGCAATGTTACTGATCCTGACGTGGCATGCCGGCTGCAGTCCCTTTCCGACCACTGTAATGTAGCTTCTCTCTGTAGTGCCATTTCTATAAATACTTTCACGGTAACTGTTATGACAAATTCTTCGCTATGGTACATAGACTTTATGAAATTAATCGCAGTACTAGATTGACAACAAGGCCTAACCAATTTACAGTTGAATTGGCTAAATGCAACCGTAGGTTCTATGCTAACAGTTTCTTCTCTCGCACTTATCCATTGTAGAACTTTCTTTCTGCTCCCAGCCAACTTTGATCTTCAAACATTTAAATATAATATCAATCATTATCTTTTGTGTCATTTTAATTCTTGTTATTATTTTTTTCTCTCTCTCCTTAATAGGGCTTTCTTTTTCTCATATTATTTCACTCTCGGTAACCCATTGCGTCTTAGTGGCATATTGCCTTAATAATCTGCATTTCTTACCTCCTCCTCTTACGTCCATACAACAATCGCATTCAGTAACCTCTACTCTGAGTGGCTCTTGGGCCTTGGGTGAAAATTAGGAATAAAATAATTAATAAACACTTAGTTGATTTTTGCTTGAAGTTGTGAATTTTATTTTTTGTTTTTCTTTTTTTTTTTTTTTCATTTCTGCCGATCTCATTGGCGTTGTCGCTATTGTAGTAAGGACTACATCATCATCATCATCATCATCATCATCATTTTTTGTTGTCTTCAGTTTTTTTTTATGTTTGTGTTATTGTTTCTACTATGACAGTTATTACTGCGATTATTATTATTATTATTATTATTATTATTATTGGTACAAGGTCATTGCAACATGGCCGGGGCCGGATTCCTGATTGTCTGTGTGTCTCTGTGCGTAGATCAAGAGGGCGAAAGCAACTTGAGCAACGTTTTGTAATGTAATTTAGATCTGAGACATGAGTCGGCGCCATCTTCTTCCCCCCATCTGCACTGGTTGTACCCGATAGCCACGAAATGACGAAATGCAATTCAAGCGAGGTGCAGTTTGTATCTGCTTCTTTTTCCTTCCTTCTTTCTTTCTTTCTTTCTTTTTTCTTCCGTTCTTTCTTTCTTTCTCATATTTCACCTTCATTCCTTTTCCAATTTCTACACACTTATTTCGCTTTCTCAGTTACGTTTTTCCATTCATTCTTACTTTCTTTCTTTCGATTTCGTTTTCTTTTTTACTCTTTCTTTTTAGTCTACTACCCTCCTTTTTACAACCTTTTTCATTTATGTTTCCCATTCAATCTCTCTTTCTTTTTCGTGTTTCTTTTTTTTATTCTTTCTTTTTCACGTACAGCCCTCATTTGCTCATCCTTTCCCAATATACATTTCTCATTCTTTCTTTCGCTTTCTATCTTTCTTTTTCATATTTCTTCTTTATTCATTTTTCAAAATTTCTGCCCCTTTTTTCGTTATTTCTCATTTAAGTTTCCCTTTCTTTCTTTCTTTCTTTCTTTCTTTCTTTCTTTCTTTCTTTCTTTCTTTCTTTTTCGTGTTTCTTTTTAATTCTTTATTTTCATCTACTGTCCTCCTTTTTTCATATTCTGTTCACTTTCTGACACTCTTTCTCTTTTGCATCTATCATTTCTTTCTTTCTTTTTTCTCTCTTTCTTTCTCTATTTCTTTTTTCTTTTAATTTTGTTTCTGTCCTGTATTTCTTACTTTCTTTCTTTCTTTTAATTTGGTCTCTGCCCTGTATTTCTTTCTTCCTTTCTCTATTTCTTTCTTCCTTTCTCCCTTTGTTCTTTCTTTCTTTCTTTCTTTCTTTCTTTCTTTCTGTTATCCAACTCCCACTTTCCAATTTTATTTCTTAAATTCCATTTATCTGTTTTTCATTTTTACTGATTTTCCCGCCTTTTTTCCTTGTTTTCTTCATTAATTCCTTCCTTCCTTCCTTCTTTCCTTTCAGTTTCATCTTTTCATTTTCTTTCTTTAGTATACTTTCTTCCTTTTTCCTTTTCTTTCTCTCTCTCTCTCTCTCTGTTCTTTTATTCTCTTTTATTTTCCTTCTTTCTTTTTCTTATTTTTATCCCTTTTTTTCTTTTTTTACTATTTATTGGCTTTCATTTTCGTTCATTCAATCAAGTTTCCCCCTTCCTTTAATTTCAGCGTTCTTCTCTTTTCACTTATTCTTTCAGTTTTTCAGTTATTTTTCTTCCTTTACTTTCAATGTTTCTTCATTCGTTCCTTTGTTTTTCTCTTTTCCAGGTTTTTAATTTTTTGCCTTATTTTGTTTTTGAAAGTTTGTATCTTTTTCTGAATGTTGCTTCATCATTAACTCTTTCTTTTTTTTCTTTCTTTCTTTCTTTCTTTCTTTCTTTTTTTCTTTCTTTCTTTCTTTTGTCTCTCTCCCCTGCCTTGATTCATTCGCTTTTATTTCTTTCTCTCTTTCTCCCTCTCGTTCTTTCTCTTTCTCTGTCTTTCTTACTTTCATTCTTTCTCTTTAATTTTCTTCTTTCTTTCTTTCTTTCTTTCTTTTTTCTTTCTTTCTTTCTTTCTTTATTTCTTTCTTTCTTTCTTGTATGTTTGCTTCTTTTTTCTATTTCTCCCTTCATCCTTCACTCTTTCTTTCAGTCTTTCTTTTATTACACGCTTTTAACCACCTTTTCCTTTCGATTCTTCCCCATTTTCTTTCTTTCTTTCTTTCTTTCTCTCTCTCTCTCTCTCTCTCACTGGCTGTCTGTCTCCCTCTGTCAATCGTTGGTATTATTAGAGACATTCAAAAATATCCCGCGAAAATTGGTTTCCAACTTAGTAATCAGTCTTTCCTCTTTAGAAAAAAAGAAAAAAAAAACGCGGTGGCTCTGAGAACTTTGGCACATCCCTAATTTTTTTTTTCTTGTATTCTTTATTTAACAGCTGAGAGACGTCGAATTCTAGGAGGAAATAGTTTTGTCTCGTCAAGTCCTGCGATTTTGTCGTCTTCTCACTTCCGCCGGATATTAGTCACTACATTGGGTTTCGTCGAAAACAAAAAACAAAAAAAAGAAGAAAAAGATAACTTTTTATGGGATGTAGGTTAGGTTTTGGTAGTCGAAAGAAAGTCGTGTTTAGCCTTTCCTCTCCCTAAAATAAAAACGTAAGTAAACAAACCAAACTAATAGTACCGGTCCCATTTGTCTGAACACAGCCTGTTGAACGTGAGAAAATTATTTGTTTTTCTTTTACCCGGATGTTATCTTTGAATTCTCATGTAATGCACTGATTGGATCTGCGCTCGCGTGGTAACGGCACGTGCACTGACAATTGTCATAATTCGACCAAAATTATCTCTGACACTGGTTCCCCAGTAAACAAGAGATTAAAAAGGGCACCCGGTAAAATACGTGTCTTTTCAGTCTGTTGGCGAAATTAGCCAGGACACACACAATGCTAGGAATTAAGGACACACAACAATAGGCGGGGTCTGTTAGAAGGACAGAGATTTATATATTTTTCTTCTTTTTTATAAGCTACTCGTTTTTTTGTTGAAAAGACACTTTTTCAATGATTGTGTTCTCGGCACAACTAAAATAAATTTTTATATACGGACTCGCTTTTGTTGATATTTAATCTGTCGTAAAGAAACTCGTATAAAATCAAATCAATTACCATTCCAGATTTTCAAAAAAAGACTTTTCTTTGCTGCTGACTGGATTATTTCAGTAAAAAGTGAGTTTCGCTTATATTTTTCGATTATTGTCTTCTCGGTAAAACGATTAAAAAACTGGAGTGTGATTTTTTTTTTTATTACTGATCTTCGGTCTCTGATGGACACGATATTCCATTGCTTGTTAATTCTTATGCATGAAAGCAAAAATAGCATGCTTTCTCTCTTATTTTCTTGAACGGAAATCCCGGATGATTTCAGATTAGGATCCGATTGGTTGCGAATTGTTGGATATAGGGTGCTGCCAAGGTACTCCGGCATGTACAGTCTTCAGTCAAACTACTGATGCTATTCTGCATAATCTTGACCAGTTAGAAGCATTTCTATACTGTCCTTCGCCAAGTTATTTCGGGGCGTCGAGGTTTCTTCATACCTTTCACATTGGTATTTGCACCTAAGTGCAACAATCCTGACTGGAATTGGAACTAGCTTCCCCGATTTTCAATTCCTGGGTGATAGATGAATGGTTAACGGCAAACGCAACAATTATAAACAATAGGAAAATAAATCACCTCGAAAAGGATTTCAAAGACAGACAGAATGTACGGCAGACTAAGCAAAAGACACGGTTACGCAGAGGACATCAAAAAAGTGAAACTCGAATACTAGGAAGGTACTGGAGATTTGAAAATAGTTGATGTGTTATGGTCCGGTTCCTTGTACCACGGTGATAGTCCAAGGTAGAACCAATAAAAAAGAACTCGAAGGCGGATATGGAATAACACAGATATATTACAAACATGAATATATACAGAGAAGAAGAAAGTGTTAGTACGAACAATCAGGTTTAGTAGTAATTGTCTGAACGCGACTCTGTTTCGGACTGCCTCTGACTCGACTGACTGACTCGCTCTGAATGACTGACAGACTCCTGACGGACCTCACTCCAGACTTCAGACTGAACTCTAGACTTCAGACGGAACTCCCTGCTTCCTCTTGAGGCGCAGTATTTATTACGTATTTATTACGTAGTTTATTATGTTATTATGGGTAAGGTCCCCTAACATGATGTCAACGAAATTCCTGGAATAACTACCAGATACCTGGTGTGAAAATGTAAAAGCGTGGACCCGGTCACAGAGATAAGACCTGTTACAATTCTATGGGACTACACAATACACACTGACAGAACAACCAAAGCCAACCGCCCAGACATTGTTGTTAAAGACCACAAACAGAAAAAAGTGCCTCGTTATTGATATGGCAGTCCCTGCTGACTGCAATGTATCTTTGAAGATATTCAAAAAGCTGTCAAAATACAAGAACCTTGAAATAGAAATAAAAAAATGTGGCACATTGGAATATCAACAATCCCTGTTGTAGTTGGAGCCCTAGGATTGTTTGGAAAAGATTCCAGTAGACTAATTGAAAGGATTCCTGGAAGTCCATGCCTCAAAGAAATACACAACATTGTTTTCACAAATACAGCCCACACATTACGAAGGGCTTTATCTATGTAATTTTTTTTTTTCATTTTTTTTTGTCAGTGGAAAGTGTCATGACGCCATTTCTAAGCAACTTAGGTCCCTGGGCGGGACCTGGAAAGAAATGTGTAAACCCCACAAATGAAAGGAAATAATAATAATAATAATAATAATAATAATAATAATAATCAAGGCCAACCGGCCAGATATTGTTATTAAAGACCACAAACAAAAACGGTGCCTCCTTATTGATATGGCAGTCCCTGCCGACTGCAATGTATCTTTGAAGATATTCAAAAAGTTGTCAAAGTACAAGGACCTTGAAATAGAAATCGCGAAAATGTGGCATATGGGAACATCAACAATCCCTGTTGTAGTTGGAGCCCTAGGACTGGTTGGAAAAGATTGCAGTAGACTAATTGAAGGGATTCCTGGAAGTCCATGCCTCAAGGAGATACAGAAAATTGTTCTGACAAGTACAGCCCACACCTTACGAAGGGCTTTATCTATGTAATCTTTTTCTTTTTTATTTTGTCAGTGGAAAGTGTCATGACGCCATTTCTAACCTTAGGTCCCTGGGCGGGACCCGGAAAGAAATGTGTAAACGCCAGAAATCAAAGAAAATAATAATAATAATAATAATAAAGAAATTGTCCAAATACAAGGACCTGGAGATTGAGATTAACAGGATGTGGGGAAAGAAGACTGAGACTGTACCAATAGTAATCGGAGATCTGTGCCTTGTGGGAAAAGGAATGGGCAAATTTACTAACAGTGTCCCAGGTAACATCGACATACAAGTTGCCCAGACGATCGCCCTAACTAGGAACATCCCATATACTAAGAAAAGTGCTATCAATTAAATGACAATTCTCCTATAGGGCGTAAAGACCATAGTTTGGACCCGACACTACAGGATACAAAACAGGAAACATAACATACACAAATAATAATAATAATAATAATAATAATAATAATAATGATGATGATGATGATAATAATAATAATAATTGAGAGGAGAGCACGATTTAAGAAAATAAAAATATGCTCCTTTGCTGAATCCCTATTATTTATTATGTCTAGTATCTCTTCAAATATCTGCGTTGATTGGCACTGCAAATATATCTGCAAAAGGCGTTATCTGTTCGAGTTCATACGACTTCATGGAGAATTCCACTAATACAAGATCTTTGGTTGAAAATAAAGTATAATAATAATAATAATATAGCAGTACCATCTGAGAGAAACACCTCCATAAAAATTATCGAATAATCGTCCAAATATAATGACCTGGAGATCGAGATTAACAGGATGTGGGGAATGAAGATAGAGACAGTACCAATAGTAATCGGAGCACTGTGCCTCGTGAGAAAAGGAATGGACAATTTTACTAACAGTGTTCCAGGTAGCATCAACTTGCAAGTTGCTCAGAAGATCGCCCTGCTAAGAACATCTCATATATTAAGAAAAGTGCTATCAATCAAATAACAATTCTCCTATAGGGTCTAAGGACCAGAGTTTGGAACTGGCACTACAGGATACAAAGCAGGAAACATAACATACACAATTAATATTATTAAAAAAAATCTTCAAAAATCTATCAAAATAAAAGGATATTAAAGTGGCACATGCGCATATCAATAATTCCAGTAGTAGTTGGAACACTCGGATTGGGTGGAAAGGGTTCCAATAGACTCATTGAAGGGATTCCTGGACACCTATACCTTAAAGAAATACAAAAAAATATACTCACAAGTGCAGCTCACACATTACGAAGAACTTTATGTAAAATCTGTGTGATCTTAGTCTTTTGTTTTGTTTTTACAAAAATGATTAGTGGAAAATGTGATGAAGCTATTTCTGACTTTAGGTCTCTGGTTGGGACCCAAAAGGAAATGTGTATACAACAGAAATCAAAGGAAATAATAATAATAATAATGATAATAATAATCGGCATGACAGAGTGGGCCAATATCTGCACTGGAAAATATGCAACTTTTACGGAAATGAAACTGCAAAAAACTGGGATGAACACCACCCAGACCCGGTTACAGAGATAGGACCTGTAAGAATTTTATGGGACTTTACAATGCCTAAAGACAAAACAAATAAAGCTAATCGCCCAGACATCGTGATCAGAGACGATGAAAGCAGAATGTGCTTTCTTGTTGATGTGGCAGTCCCTGCAGATTGTAATGCATCTTTGAAGATCTTCAAAAAAAAACTATCAAAATACAAGGATCTTGAGGTGGAAATCACAAACATTGTGGCATATGAGGACATTAATAATTCCACATGTAATTGGAGACGTCGCTTCGATAAGACAATGTTTCGATAGACTCACTGAAGGGATTCTTGGTTTCTCATACCTTAAAGACATACAAAAAATGAACTCACAAGTACAGCTCACACATTACTATAGTTACCTATTATGTAAATGTGTGTGACCGTAGGATTTTTTTGGTGGGGTTATAAAAATGATCATTGGAAAATAAAAGTAAATAATAATAATAATAATAATAATAATAATAATGAAATTGAACTCGCAAAAATGTGGCACATGGTGACATCAACAATCCCTGTTGTAGTTGGAGCCCTAGGATTGTTTGGAAAAGATTCCAGTAGACTAATTGAAGGGATTCCTGGAAGTCCATGCCTCAAAGAAATACACAAAATTGTTCTCACAAATACAGTCCACACTTTACGAAGGGCTTTGTCTATGTAATTTTTTTTTTTTTTTTTTTTGTCAATGGAAAGTGTCATGATGCCATTTCTAACCTTAGGTGTCTGGGCAGAACCCGGAAAGAAATGTGTACACGCCAGAAATCAAAGAAAAAAATAATAATAATAATAATAATAATAATAATAATAATAATAATAATAATAAGTAACTAGAAGTGGAAATCTTAAAAATATAGTGCATGAAGACATGGTTCGATTCGTCTAAAGTATCTATGGTAACGTGTGCCTTAAAGAAATACAAACTATATTCCCACAGATTTGATTCACGCATTACGAAGTGCTTTATTTATATAATATGTATGTGATCTTAGGTTGTCTTATTTTGTTTTTACAAAAATGTTCATTGGAAATTATCATGATGCCATTTCTAATCTTAGATCTCTGATTGGGACCCAGAAGGAATTGGGTATACAACAAAAATCAAAGGAAATAATAATAATAATAATAATACTAATAATAATAATACTTTTGAACTTGTTGGCTTCCTTTCTTACTGAATAAAGTCGCTTACTACTTTTATCTGTGTCAAAGGACATGAAAGTTGTAAGCGACTTTATTCAGTAATAAATGAAGCCAACAAGTTCAAAATAGAGTTTCAAATGGGTGAATAAATACAAGTAAAGCATAATACACCGATTGAAGCTGCAAAATACTTAAAAGGGAAAGTAAAAGCAAATCCAACCGACCAGATAGAGAATCGATGGCAAGATAAACCGCTTCACGGTCAATACTCTGCCCGTACCAAACAAACTGATGGAGACAAACTCTGTACCCATCGGTGGCAACGTAGTGCAGGGATAAAAGCGGAAACTGAAGGTTTTATTCTTGTTTCACAGGACCATTGCTTGCTAACTAAAAATTATCAAGCACACATACTGAAAAATTGTATTTGTCCAAAATGCAGATTCTGTGATAAATATCCAAAAGCAATTGACCATTTTGTATTAGGTTGCGCGGTATTGACACTTATTGAATATAAAACACGTCACGACTGAGTGGGTCAATATCTGCACTGGAAAATCTACAGCTTCTGCGGAAAGGAAACTGCAAGAAATTGGTATGAACACCACCCAGATGCGGTTACGGAGATAGGACCTGTTACAATTCTATGGGACTTTACAATACACACAGACAGAACACTCTAAGCTAATCACCCAGACATCGTGATTAGAGACCGCAAAGACAAAATGTGCCTCCTTATTGACATGGAAGTCCTTGCAGACTGTAATGTATCTTTCAAGATCTTCAAAAAACTATCAAAATAAAAAGGACCTTGAAATCGAAATCTCAAAAAATGTGGCGCATGAGGACAATTAACAATTCCTCTTATAGTTGAAGACATCGAAGTGATTGGAAAATATTCCAAATTGTACTCACAAGTACAGCTCACACCTTATGAAGGGCTTTATCTATGTAAAATATGTGAGAAAATGTCATGATGTCATTTCTGACCTTAGGTCTCTGGACGGGATCCGGCAAGAAATCACTATACACCAGAAATCAAAGGAAATAAAACAAGAACAACAACAATAATAATAACAATGAAAATAAATAAATAAATAAAAAACTATAAAAATACAAAGGACCTTGAAATCGAAATCTCAAAAATGTGATGCATGAGGACAATGAACAATTCCAGTTGTAGTTGGAGCCCTCCGATTGATTGGAAAAGATTCCAAATTGTACTCACGAGGACAGCCCACACTTTATCTATCTACGATTTTTTGCAGAACTGTTCAGTGGAAAATGTCATGATGCTATTTCTGACCTTAAGTCTCTGGTCGGGATACAGAAAGAAATGAGTATAGACCAAAAAGCAACGGAAATAATAATAATAATAATAATAATAATAATAATAATAAACGAAGCTAATCAGACAAATTGATGGAAAATATTGGTAGAAAATATTAGACATATTCGTAGGAAATAAAATAGCAAAATAAAGGTTGATCCATCGGCCATGTTTAAATTGTAACAGCAGCAAAAAGACTAGCGCAATCAAACTCAGAGTTAGATCACATTGACCACATTAGTGCCAACTATAAACACGCATGAGCAGAAGACAGTGTGACAAACCTAAAAATATATTATGGCGAAAGTCCGAATAATTTTTGACTTACACCTACGTGTGTCGGGTGGAAAGAAATTTCATGAAATTCTTACTAAAAACATTTCTCTCTAAATAATTGTACGTACACACACGTACACACACACACACACACACACACACGCACACACACTTACACATGTACACACATATATATATATATATGTGTGTGTTTCTATGTGTGTAAAAATTTCAGAGAGAGTATATCTGTAAAAGACAATATGAAAAAAGGAAAAACTTTGCCATGTTATTGGCTAATATAAGTTTTCCTTTTGTCTTTTTTCATGTATATATATATATGAGTTGACAATGCCAATATATGTCTTCTTGTTGGTTGAAATAGTTATTCGAATGAGGTAAATTTGGATTTCTATTATATGTAATACACACACACACATATATATATATATATTTAGTTTATGAAAAACTAGCTAATAAAAAAATATATATATATATATATATATATATATATATATATATATATATATATATATATATCAAATATGTGGCGCAGTTCAATTTATATTACACTGAATCATTCTTACCAAAACTAGATTAGTATAGTTAATGATATAAAATGGCGAAAACTCTTCGCAAACAAAATTCTAAAGTTGCATTAACCTACGAATCACTCGATGAATGTTAAGATCCTTGTTTTTAATAACTACAAGCTGTATAAGGTCTTTTTTTAATCTGCTAGTACTTTCAACTGTACACACAGTCATCCTCAAGCATGAAAATTATTTTGTTTTTAGTAAAATCCGGGTAGCATCGAAGACGATAGATTAAATGCGAATCGAAATATGTGTTTTTTTTTTAGAAATGTGTTATTGTTAACGGATAAAAACTTTTGAAACGTGCGGTCGAAACGCTAAGGTTGAATTTTTTTGAAAATTTAAGAGAGTGCGTTTTTTACAAATATGGTAATTTGAGAATTTTTTTTTTTTTTTTGGTAGGAGTTTATCAGTCAATGTGGCATGAACTAAATTGTTCAATAAATAGAGTAATGTCTCAGTTGTTATCCCGAAAATTTGCTCGTCGGATCAGTTCTTTTAAAACAAATATGTGCTGCAATTCAATTTATATTACAATGAATCATTCATACAAAAAGTAGATTAGTAAAGCTTATAATACAAAATGACGAAATCCCTTCGCAAACAAAATTTTAAAATATTAACTTTACTAATCTACTTTTTGTATGAATGATTTATTGCAATATATATATATATATATATATATATATATATATATATATATATATATGGTGTGATGATGCAAAAATGAAAAAACGCTGACATCTCATTTTAACAGATATATTTACCAAAATTATACACGAATATCTTGAAATACTAAAAAGTAAATGAATTCAATAAAATCGCCATTGGCTTCAACCGCGGCCTCCAGACAAGTTCAGAATTTTCTGTAACTCTTCTGGGTTGTCTCTTTGTTTTAAGTTGGTAAATGCTGCCATAATTCTTGCCTTTCGTTCATCTTTGGGGCTACAAGGAGTTTTGTTGGTCTCTCGCTCAACGGCGTCCCACACATAATAATCAAGGGTGTTGCAGTCTGGGGAGTCACGTGGCCAGATGTAAAGGATGATGTGGTCTAACAGCCATGATTGGGTTCTCTTGCTTTTGTGGCAAGGCACAGAGTCCTGTTGTCGGATATAAGGTCTTCCAGCAGCCACTCTCTTAACTCAGGGCAGCACTATCTCTTCAACGCACTTGATGTAGGCCTCTGTGTTGAGTCTGAGGCTCTCACCGACAAATGCAGGAGATCTTTTCTTATCAGAACGATCAGAGTGAGTTTTCCGAGATGCTGTATCTTCGTAATCACTATTAGACTCCTCCAACTCTTTCCGAATCCTCGGAACTGTCCTCAGATTGACGCCTAAACATTCTGAAATGTTCGTATTGGAGCTTCCTTCGCGAATTCCAAGTAGTACATCATGCTGTTTCAGGCGGAGTGAATTGCATCATGGCGCTCTTTTTCTCCCGGACAGTGCCCAACTGACCCTACTATACTGTGCAGTCAACAAATCGCACCCTGCATATAAAATAAAGAGAACCCTATCGTCATTCGTTTCTCTGTTATAGTGAAACAACATATCAATACACACCCGCTTTGCTGCACAAACGTTCGGGTAAAATTAATTTTGCATACTAAATTAGGTTTTCACATATATATATATATATATATTGTTTGTCATTATTTCAAGGTGCCATTACTATTTTTATTTGAAATAATATTAATGTGCTGAATTCATTTAAAATGAGGAAAACTAAATTTAAGATTCTTCGAATTTTGTTCATTTTAACAAGACATCCATGTAAGATTTTTTTTTCATATATATTTAAAAATTATGCAAAAATATACAAAAACGAACTAAAAGCCGTTGTCAAAATTGAAAAAAAAAAATTTGTATTTATGTTCTTGGAAAACAACACCTGCTTCTCGTTTTTCATTATTATTATTATTACTATTATTATTATTATTATTATTAATAATAATAATAATAATAATAATAATAATAATAATGATTATAGAGGCAATAAGAGACATCTTAAAAGGTCACAGAGTAAACTACACAAAACTGTATCGGTCAAAGGTTGTTTAGTATAGATGAGGATTATGAGATATCACGTCAAAAAGTATAAACGTCTCGATTGATTAACTTATTTCGGGCGATATCTACTATTTGTCACGGCCCACCCACTCATCAATGTTATATTCTTCTTTTCCTTCATCGGGTTTCTTCCTTTATTTTTTCCTTCCTTCCTTCCCTCCTTCCTTCTTTCTTTCTTTCTTTTTTCTTTCTTTCTTTTTTCTTTCTGTCTTTCTTTCTTTCCCAATTTCTTCCTTCCTTTTCTTTCTTTCTGTATTTATTTATTTCTTCCCTTATTTCTACCTTTCTCCTTACTTTCTTTCTTTCTTTCTTCCTCTTTCCTTTCTTTCTTTCTTTCTTTCTTTCTTCCTTCCTTCCATTTTCCTTCCCTTATTTCTTCCTTCCTTTCTTTTTTCTTTCTTTCTTTCTTTCTTCCATTTTCCTTCCCTTATTTCTTTCTTTCTCCTTCCTTTCTTCTTTTTCTTTCTTTCTTTCTTTTTCTTTCTATCTGTCTTTCTTTCTTTCTTCCTTCTTTCCTTTATTTCTTCCTTCCTTTTGCCTTCCCTTATCTCTTCCTTCCGCCTTCCTTTCGTTTTCTTTCTTTCTTTTTATTTACACAGTTTCATATGTTTGTACTCCTAACGCTCTGCTTTTTAATTCGCTTTTTTTTGTTTTCTTTTTGTTCCTGACGCGTGTATAGGGCGAATGATTGTGGCGTTGACTCAAAAGGAACAAAGAAAATCTTGCGTAAGTGTTTCAACCACACAAACGAAAAAAACATGGCGTCTCAAATCTCTTGAGCCAATGTATTCAGATAGCAATTGGAAATGTCCGCTTGATTTGATTTGTTGATTGAGTTCAAGGACATAGAATGTTGACCGCTATAAACGGAGAAAAGGACAGCTGATGAGAAGTTTCCCGTAAAATTAAACGCACACACATGCAAAAAACACACCCACACCATATATATATATATATATATATATATATATATATATATATATATATATATCCATGTAAAATAAGAACGAATAGAGTCCAATTACGACGTTCGTAATATTCAATTTAAAAGAGGGCTCAATACAAAAGTAGAGCAATATTCTTTATTTTAGGATATTACATGAAAAACATATAAAAAAACATGTAAAAAAGAACGCTACACAAATGTAATCATGTTTCGATGCGTATTAACACATGAGGCGTTATCAGGTGTTATATATATATATATATATATATATATATATATATATATGTGTGTGTGTGTGTGTGTGTGTGTGTGTGTGCATGAGGGTCCGACTTAGGGCTCTGAGAGCCGAGATCGAATTTCAATCGAATCCATTACATTCACTTACTTGCTGATACCCTTGGGAAAGGTATGAATCCTTTTTTTCTCCCTCCAGCTATGGGTAATTAGTGGGGCAGACTGGGTTCTATAGCCTTGTATTGGTCTATGAGAAGGACAACTCTGAATTCAAAAACTGCGGAAGTTTGTTTGGGGACCTTGTATTCAGCCCTTCAAAACGTGTGGTTGGTTCTGCTCAAAACCTTCACCACTCTAATCAAATTATATATGCTGGAGAGTTCACCGCCATATGCATGTCTTTAGTGTTGTAGTGGTTGAAAGAAGTATGTATTGTATATATGCGTGTCAACACTGAACTCTGTATTCGTCGTAGTCGCCTGTGAAAATGATAAAAACATATATATATGTGTGTGAAATGTATATATATATATATATATATATATATGCTAAAATAATCCTAAGGAGCCAGGCAAACCTATCAAGGTTTCACCTAAACGAATCTTCAGGGTAAAGCCGGCTAAAAAGGAAAATAACGTAACAGTATTTATTGATAAAAACCAAATAAAACGATAACCACGTGACAAAAAATGGGTATGTTACTTTATTGATAAACCATTGATATCGCTCTACTTAGTGCATGGAGCACTCTACGTTTAGTCTTTTTGTTCTCGTTTGGGTTTTTTTTTTTCTTTGGACTAAGGACTTAAAGCACTTGGCGATTTGTTTCGTCTTGTTCTCATGTTCTTGGTTCTTTCATTTTTATTTCCAATTTTTCCCATGGGTCCCGATTTGTTATATTACAAGTTGATCTATCCGAGGTTTTTCCAAACGAATATTACCATATATATATATATATATATATATATATATAATAAAAATAGACCACTTTAATGTTCCATGTAATAAATTATTTCACCACAGCCCTTTTAAAGGACTGCGGATCATCAGACTTTTCTTTAAATTATTTGCTCTGGATTTACGTTGAGCTCTCTGGATTTTATCCTCCTTAGGTTTGCCCATACGGATTACCTAGTTTTTCATAAACTAACTATACATATATATATACATACATATATATATATATATATATATATATATATATATATATATATATATGTGTGTGTGTGTGTGTGTGTGTGTGTGTGTGTGTGTGTGTGTGTGTGTGTGGTTGTTCAGTACTGGGGTGAGAATTTCCGAGGCCAGGCACTCATATTATTTTCAGATCCCACTTTCGGTCGTTAAAGGCGATCCTGGGACAAACAAACTCGATCTAGCGTGTCTTACAAGCGTGTCTGTCTGGTAGGATTGTGATATGTTAAATATCAATTTTCTGTTAAGGTCTTTATTTGTATTTTTTGTGACAAATATTTATGTATGTCATTCTAATAATACGACTCTTAACATTCCTAAAACTTAGTAGTGATCGCTCTTTTAATCAGTCAAAACTAATAAAGAAGTATCAACGCACAACAATGCTTCAAGACCGCCTTGCCAAATTGGCAGTCCTCACGATCGAGTGGGATTTGGCACGAGAATTAGACTTTGAGGAACTCATTGCGCATTTTGCTTCAATGAAAGTTCGGAAAATATACTTTTAAGTTGCTTTGTAATAGGTTTTAGTCGTCGTAGTTTTTTTCAATAAAATATCGATTCGTAATTTGTTTCTCTGTAAAGAAGCCCCACCCCAACACCTAAAGATATTTTCTTGTGGTTACTCAAGTTTCGAGGCCCGGCACATTTGTGTCTGTGGCTCTCCCCGACTCGCCGACTCTGTATGTGTTTATGCGATATAGATATATATATATATATATATATATATATATATATATATATATATATATATATATATATATATATATATATATATATATACTACGAAAAAAAGCAACACGTGGTCTGATGATTGGGTCTAGTATGAAACAGTCTGTCACCTCTGAGTGCTGACTTCAATGTTCACAATATTCACCGATATATATATATATATATATATATATATATATTTCGGATAGCAAAGCTCGAATTACGGCTCTTAAATTTCCCTTCGCCGATTTTTCTTGATCATATTCGCACTGAAATTGTAGCCTAACGTAAACACAGACAATATATTATATAAAATCGATTTAATTCGATAAATATTTTTACTTTTATACGTTTTTATGGATATAATTATTTTAGTAAATGCTATGTCTTTAATTAAACAGTGGGAATGACATTTACCGGCATACAATTTCTAGAAATTTGGTAGAAAATATGCGTTCTCCGACTGGAATCGAACCTGCATCCTATACAAAATTGTTATTAAGCCTGACCAGCTATGACTACTCAGTCACAGAGAATTTCCGGTTAGCAAAACTCGAATTACTGCTTTTAAAATCGGCGAAGGTGAGTGCTTAAAAGCAGTAATTCGAATTTTGGTAACCTGTTATATATATATATATATATATATATATAGTGTGTGTGTGTGTGTGTGTGTGTGTGTGTGTGTGTGTGTGTGTGTGTGTGTGTGTGTGTGTGTGTGTGTGTGTGTGTGTGTTTTGGCAGCATGTTTTCATTGAGGCAAGTTTAATTGAATAATTTAGACAAGATTTGTCTGCTTATTTTCGGATGAGTTTTTGATGTCGGTATTAAAAGAAGAGAGATAATTACCGTGTTGATGCATATTGTTCCGAGTACATTCGATATTAGCACAATGTCATCATCAGTGGATGTTTTTAAGACAAAAATCTAGTGTTCATTATTTTCAAAAATACAATTGCTATGTTCATAAGTTATAATTTTACGTGTGGAGTGAGGACCGCTAATTACGGCGTATGTTTACGCTCTAGGGGAGGTAACTAGCTATGATGTGTGAAGAGTTTTTTTTAGAAAAAGAAAAAATCCTATGAGTAACTATTAATATAGACCTAGATATTTAAGTCTCTCTATCATAAACATTTTACAACATTTGTGCAGTATTCATAATTCATTTTTTCAACGTTTGCTTTCAATTTTTTAATATACATATCTTCAAGGATTTTTAGTTTATGTTTATTATTTTCATGAAAAAATATGGATGTATTTTCGACAACATTTTTTCTAAATTTCGTATGTGAACAAGCATGCTGTAGTAAATGTTAGATATATCATTCAAGTGAAAACTAAACCGCCGAGACAACGCTGTCGTAGTATGGCCAACATAAATATTATTTTTTTCCGTTGGCGATACAAATAAATGTAGTAGAGAAAACAAATTGAAACAGCCTATGACAGATTAAACACTCTCAATAACGGCGTTAAGATATCTACAATAAACTAAAATATACAACTACCCCAACCAACTGGAAGAAATTACACGTCTTTTGTATTATAATGGCTTTTAGAATTTTGAGACTTTCTTGGCAATGAACTCTGTATATTTTTGTCTATTAAAATTGGTGTTTGGGTTGTTTGAGATGCGAAAATTGATATGTGCACGAATGACACTAAATTGAGAAAAGTGACAAGTCAACCTACGAGAGTCTGTGGTGCATGTGTAGCCAACAACATTATTTTTTTTATATAAGGTGGATGATTGAGATTCTGAATTGTTGTTAGTAATTAGAGGAGTCGTATTGAATTGTTTTAGGTGAATGACAAATCTAAGGTATCTATTACGATCGTTAAATGTTACATATCTGCAACTAAGATTTTTAATGTTTTTTCAAGAATGCATGTGGTTAAAATAAAATAATTCAATAGAGCCTTTGTTTTTGTTTATATGAAAATTATTGAATATATCTTTTTTCTAAATTTTCTTAAAACAAATATTATTCTTCATCAACAAAATGGTTTAAAACATTGTTGATAAATATTCGCTTTTGTGGATTCATCTATATATATAAAACAGAGGGTGTCTGTGTGCTGTGTGTGTGTCTGTGTGTGTGCTGTGTGTGTGTGTGTCTGTCTGTCTGTGTGATAACTGTTCACTCGAGATGCAGCCAACCGATTTTGACCAAACTTGGCACATTTATTGTGCAATGTAAGAGAATGGTTCTTAGCGTAAAAATGGGTAATTTTTAAAAAAAATCAATAATCGATAAAGCTTTTTTCATCCGATTTCGTTCAAACTCAGTATGTAGGTTACTTACACCATGACGAACTTAAGGATACCTCATTTTTATTCATTCACTACTGCGTTTAGCGAAAAACGAAAAATCGATTTCAACAAAAATTTTAAACTAAAAACTCCCTCAATTTTCAAGCAATCTAATATAAACTTCACTCACTTGTAGCCAAAAATAAGTTGATTGTTTAACAATCATTTAACTTGATAATTGAGTCCACCTATCTTATGAAAACCCGCTTAAATAACGAAAATTGA